AAACCATCCGACAAACATTAGAACGGTGGAAGGACATTCCGTTTCCTTCTCTATATATTCCTACATCTCCTGACTCCAATAGAGCCTGTACATCTGGGTCCACGGGGAGGACCAGCTGCACTCAAGACATGGCTGGGTTGAACTCTGCAGGGTCCAGCCAAGGTTCTTCTACATCAAGCCTCCACTCCTCAGTGTCTACTCACAAGGACCCTGACTCCCAGTGCTGAACTTCTAGTAGCCAAGCTCTGGCAGATGGATGTTCTCCCATACCAGAATGACAAGGTGGCCACACATTCAAAACAAGATACCAGGGCTGTCAAGATGCTAGAGGAGAAGATATGCCGATATGCCACCCTGTTGCTGTGGAAAGAGGAACCAGTCCCGCTTCAATCCACTAAGGAGTGAATATCTGATCCACATCTACCTGATGTTGCTTCTTTCGGTGGCTTCCAGGACTTGCTGGAAGATTACATTCGAGCTGTCCATGGGACAGCTGCCGACTCAACACCCACATCAGAGAATTACAGGCAAGCAGAGCTAGCATTCCTCCGGAAGGTACAGGAAGACAGTTTTCCTGAAGATTTTGTTCGGCTGTCATCTCACAAACCAGTAGCTGCCAGCAATCGCCTACTTGCCTTAGCTCCTGAGTATGACCCAGAGGCTCAACTGATCCGTGTAGGGGGGCAGCTTCGCAGATGTGAAACCCTCAGTCAAGACATCTTGCATCCTGTCTTTCTTGACCCATTGACTTTCTTGAAAGCTCATCATCCAGGATTGTGATCGCAGGCTTGCTCACCCAGGCTCCGAGAGGGTCTTTGCTGAGCTCCGGCGCAGGTTCTGGATACTTCGAGGACGAGAGGCCATCCGGAAGCACCAGTACAACTGTCCTGAATGCAGGAGGTGGCGCAGTCAGCCGGTAATTCCCAAGATGGCTGACCTTCCCTCATCCAGTTTAAGACTTCATCGCCCAGCCTTCTATTCAACTGGGGTGGACTGCTTTGGTCCATACTTTGTCAAGATGGGGCAGCGTACCGAGAAACGGTGGGGGATCATCTTCAAATGCCTAACCACCCACGCAGTCTACTTTGAGCTGCTTGCCAGCATGGACACTGACTCATTCCTGATGGGACTGCATCGTTTCATCGCGAGACGTGGGAAGCCCTTCGAACTACTGTCGGATCAAAGTACCAACTTCAAAGGTGGTAGCTTTGAACTCCAGGAGACTTTCAACGCCCTCGGCCCAGCTCTGAAGTCACAGTTGGCCAGCCAGCAGATTCATTTTCGTTTCAACCCTCCACAGGCTCCACATTTCGGTGGTTCCTGGGAACGGGAGATTCGTTCCATCAAGTCTGCGCTGCATACCATTCTCGGCTCGCAGCA